TAATAAAAAAGCTTTAAGAAATATACCGTCTATCCGACTCGAGCTTTAAGCTATCGATAACACGAGATTACAACAAATCCTTGCAAACAGTTAAGCAAAAGAGCGTCTTTTTAGCGGTATAGATTAAAGAACACCGAGCTATTTACAAGTTAGCGAAGATAAATAACTTTTACGAAACGACGAGTACACTCGCGACAAAAGCATTTTTAAAAGCTATTAACGAAAAATAATTATTAACTTAAGCGTCGTTAAAGCTCGCAAAAGTCATTCGAAACGACGAGCTGTTATTGCTTTAAAAGCGCACTTTCTACGACTACCTTAATTAATACGAAAGCTAAATCGAAAAGAAAACTAGCAATCCGAACTTTAACTTTTTTAACGTATTCGCTACTTTCGAAAATCAAACTACTCGCAATACTTCCGGAGATAATAAAGCTAACGACACTGCTTTTAAGCAATCCGGTAAACGCTCCGATAGCTTTAAAAGATTTGTTAAAAGTTTTAAGTGCTCGTGCTTTAAAAAGAAAAACTATTATTAAGATGCAATCAAGTGCAAGATCTTTCGCTATTGCTTTAACGGTTTTAACAAAAGTAAATTCGCAAAGCCGAACCGAGATAATATCGTCGTTATAAAGAAAAAGCTTTAAAAGCTTAAGTTCAAAGCGCTTCGAAAAGAGATTACGAAAAAAGGTTAAGCATAAATTCAAGTCGATAAGATCGTTTTAAAAAGCAAAAAGAAGCAATCGAATGATAGCGATAAGTCAAAATACTTTAAAAAAGTATTAATAGCTATCATCGATCTCGAGCTTTTTAATACGCTCGATAATCTTGCCTTTTACGGTCTTTATAGCACGGCTAACAATAAGCATCAGCTATCTAATAGCATTCTTCTCGACAATTGCGACGCTACTCATTTTATTAATAATAAGAATCTCTTAAAGCTAAAGTCAATTCAACGCTTCCGCTTAACCGACTTTATCGAAGCTAAAACGAGTAGTTTTTTAGTCGTCGGACGAAGTACTAAAGTCTTTAAAAGAGCTTTAAACGGATTAAATAAAGCTAAAATAAAAGATTTAAAGTTAAAAAACGTCGCTATCGTTAAAGAGTTTAATATTAATATTATCTCGAAAGCTCTTTTAAGCAAGGCTAGCGTATAATACTCGAGATATAACGCAACTCTCCGCTACGAAGAGGTTAAAAAGAGCGTCGTATTAAGAAAATTAAAAAAGAAGTTTAACTTTACGTTTTTTAAATACAAGCTATTCAACTATTCTTTGTCTTAATTAATTCGTAGCTCCTTTTGTTTAATAATATTCTTTACAACTTAAAAGCGCTTATAAACACGCTATAAATTTTAAAAGAGCAATGTCTTTCGAGCTTTAAAAGAAGATTCATCGGTACTTTAGCATTTACGGATAAGTTATCTAAGTAAAAAAGCGCTTAAAGCGCTAGCTTATAATGCTAAAAAGATAAGACTTAAAAGAATTATTAAAATTAAATGTAAAGCATATGCTATTACGCACGCTTAATAAGTTATATCTCGCTGTACGTTAAACAATAAAGCAGCTAAGCTATTTTACAAGATCGCTTAAGATCTATTCGACTTTCTTAACGATTTTAACGAAAGCAAATAGTTATTAATAATTAAAGATGAATATAATAAGAAGCTATTCGGCTTTATATTAAAAGACAAGTTGCAATTAACGGTTATAAAAGTGCTAAAAGAATTTAAAGTATAAACGAGACGCAAATACGGTCTTTTAATAGCTGTTATACGCTATAATAACGATTCTTCGGTAATCGCAATTAACGTTATCGGCTTTATCGAATATTAAAAATAAGCGAAAGAAGTTAAGATCGAGTTAAAGCTTTTATTATCTTTTAATTACGAACTTAATAAAAGAGCCGAGAAAGCTAAGAAAGAAATGATAAAACGGTCTATTAAAATAAGAATAAAAGCAAGGCTCTTAAAGAAGCTTTAGCTTGAAACTATACTAGCCGTTATCTACTTTTATAATATAATACCGAAAGCGAAAAGCTTTATAAAGAGTCCGAATAAAGTGCTATAGCTTTAGTTTAAGCAATATTTTAAGTAATACGATCCGGCGATCTTTATACGGATCGACACCGACTTAAGACTAGATTGTAGCGGTTTGGTTGCGTATAGCGCTCGTGCGTACTTAATAATCAAAGACCGAAAAGCTCTTCGCAATAAAAGAGCTTTTAAAGTTAAATTAAAGAAATATATAAATTACTTAGTTAAATATATAGCTTTTAACATATATAAGGTTTATGTTCTTATGCTTTATAAAGTGATTGTTATACGCAACGTAACGTTCGATAAGACTTAATTCTATTTTAAAAACAAAAAAAAATCGATCGGCTAATCGATTAGCGAGATTAAAAGCATCGTTATTAAACTAAAAGATATTAAAGACTTTAATTAAATAAAGGACGCTTTATCTAACATAAAGAACGTTGCAAAAGATCGCTTAAAAAAGACGAATGCAATTAATATAAAAAGTAATTAGCCGTTAAACTTTATAAAAGTTAACTTAAAAAGATTTAATTAAAGCTTAAAGAATACAACTTTATTTAATTCGAACGATGCACAAACGTTAAAAGCTTTAACTTTTATTAAAGACCTTATAAATACGTCTGTATTAAAAGCAATTGCTTTACGAAACGATCTAATAGATCTTAACGATTCGAATTACACCGCTAAACGTTTCGCTAGCTTTTTAATTAAGAGCAAAAGCGAAAGTGCTTTAAGACTGTTAAAAGTAGAAAAGAGCACCGTAGACGAGTAAAAACTTGGCCTTAATAAAGGAGCGCGCATATTATACCTTTAAGTTGTTATTTAAAGCCGAGGCTCGAAAGGCTAAGCTATAAGCCGACTAACGAAAGCTTTTACGTTAATAACCGGCGGAGATTCAAACCGAACAATTAAAGAAAAGCTTTTAAACCTTTTTAAAGCGAGCATTAATAATAAGAAATTAAATTATAAACACTTTAAATAAAATTCCGACTTTAATAAAAAGCATTCACTTATTAATAGCCGCATTAAAAAACGCGCGAAGATATACGCAAGTATTAATAAGCTTTTCTTAAATAACTTTCGCGCTGATTCGAACCGCTATTCGCGCGTTTTAAATTTTATATCGACTTTTTAAATTAATAACGAACTCGTGCGCGAAGATAATAAAGATTACGAGATATTATACGCTATCATAGCAGCTGTTATTTCGTTTAAGCTATTATTAAAACAGCTTAACCCGCAAGAACGAAAACATTTAAAACCTTTTACTTATTAAAAAGAGCTATAACGACACTTATACGGCAAGAAGTTTAAAGACGGAGCTTTTATAAAGCTGAATAATCTAAAGAAAAAGAATTGCTAAAAAGTGATTTTCGAAAGCGAAGTTAAGTTAAAACCTATACCTTTTAAATAAGTGTTTATATATAAGACTAGCTCGTCCGAAAAGATCGTAAAATTCAAATCGAAGATTATTATTAAAAGTGACTTTTAAAACGAATCTATTATTTATTTAATATACGCGGCTACGCTAGCAGCTAGATCTTTTAAGATCATAATAGCTATAACAGCCGAATTTAACTTAAAAGTAAAACAATTCGATATCGTTAACGCTTTTATTAACGTTATAAGATATACGAATAGCGTTTTAGTTACGTGTTATCTTTTTAACGGTTTTAAGTAAAAAAGTATGCTCGTAAAAGTCGATAAAGCTTTATATAAACTTAAAGACTCGCTAGCTTTATAGTATTTCGACTTTATAAGTACACTCGACAAATTAAAGCTTATACTATTCGATAAGAAACTATGTATTTTTACGAATCTAAATAAAACGGTTTTTATAACGTTTTACGTAAACGATATTCAACTTATATACTATCACTTTAATCTTTTTAAAGCGCAAGAGATCATTAACGGTTTTAATAAAGCGTATAAGATCGAAGCGATAAAAGATATTAAATAGTTTCTTAATATAAAAGTCGCTTAAGACCGTTAGCGAAAAACGCTAACGCTTATGCACGACGCTTATATTGAAAAAATAGCTAAGAAATTTAAACTTACGAACGGACGCTGCTTAACAACTCTATTACCGTTTTATAACTTAATTAAGAATAAAAAGATAGCTTCGCGGAAGCAAGTGAAAAAGTATTAAAAGAAAGTTAGATCCGTATTATATATAGCGATCATGCTACGCTTAAATATAGCTTTTGCAGCTTCTTAACTTTCTTACTTTAGTATTAATTTAAGCGCGGAGCACTTCCGAGCTATAAATTAGTATTTGCGATATCTATTTAGCTCGCGCTTTAAAAGTATTCAATATAGCTAGTTCAGCAAATCAAAGCTAGTAATAGCTTCTGACGCTTCTTACGCCGATAACGAAGAGATAAAGCGATCTTTTTAAAAGTATATTGTGTTTTTATTCGAGAGTACGATCTTTTAAAAAGCTTTAAAGCAAGATATAGTTATTATATTATTTACTAAAACGGAGCTTCTTAGCATAGCCTTTATAGTAAAAGAGACTATAACGCTTTAACGGTTTTTCAAAGAGCTGTATTTTCGTTTTGCGGCGCTTTAAGTAGTTTATTATAATAATCAATAAACAATCAAGCTTATAGCTAATAAAAAGGAGCGTATCTTTATTAAGCTTCGCTACGTCGATATTTATAATATATAGCTGCGCTAAGAGTACTTTAAAAAGAGCTTTTAAGTTTAATATCTCTTTATTAAAAAGATGCACGTTAACGGTCTTATAAAGAACTTGACTCGATAAAAGTTTAAAAGCTTTATTAAGCTCTTAAATTTACAAAACGCTCGCGCGTCAATCGAAAAGCTTTAATAGCACGCATATATTATTTACTTATTATATATCATTTTTTTTCATTTGCACGTAATTTAAAAGAAAACATCTATTTAGCAATCTTAACCGTTATTCTATTTTATCTTACACGCTTTTACCTTTCGCCTTTTATAATAAAAGATCGACTAAAGCTCTTAGCAATCTCTTCACTTTAGCTCGGCGCTCCGTAAGAGTTATAGCAACGGCGGGCGCCGCCGCGAAAGCGGCAAGCGCAACGATTAACGCAAAAGGAGCGACGATAATAAGTGCGACGGAAGCGACGATAGCTGCGAAAGCGACGAAAGCAGCGAAAGCGACGGAAGTAACAAAAGCAACTATCGCAAGCGCAAGAGCTGTTATAGCAATAGATTAAAGCTTTTGTATAAAGTCCGAAAAGAAGTTTTAATTAAAAAGAGCTGCTTAGATTAAATCATTTCGTAAGTTAAAGAGCTTGACTTACGAAAAGGTGATATGCTCGAAGCGCTCCGCGTCATCGGACTACGGTTCGCTACTATAAGACTATTCAATTTAATAAAGGCTATATTTAAATTAAAAGTCTTAAGAGCAAGAGCAAAACTTGTAAAGCTACCGAGATTACTTTTAAAACCTTTATTTCTACTCGCTAAACCGCCCGGACTACTAACAGCACCTCTTAAAAAAAGCAGCATCTAAAGCGAGCTATTATCGCATAGCATTTCGAAAACCTCGGCGAACTTTTTATATAGCATTATTATCTTTAACGCTTACGAAATTATCGAAAGCGGTGTTAATAACAGCAAAAGCAGCGGTGCAATTGCTATAGCTACTTTTAGCATACCGGAGACAGCGAATAACGCTCGTATCGCAATTATAGCAATCTTTATTAGACTTCGATATGATCTTATTATTAATGCACTTAATGCACTTTAAAGCCTTAACGGTCGTTAACATAAGCAAGCGCTTAATAAGAAGGTCTAAAAGAAAAAGCGAAGCTTCGAAGATAAAAGTGCGTAGTATAACCGTCGCAGCCGCCGCAGCTGTAGCAGCAGCAATAATTAAAGCAGAAAGAGGATTCTCTTAATAATCAATATAAATATATTAATCTATTAAGAGCACTTACTTTTAAACGGCTTCGGCCGCGCTTAACGATTCTATTAAACTAAGTTACTTGTTTAAAAGGTATTGTATAAATAGATAAAAGTTAAGTGTTTGTTATAATAGAAAAGAACGCGCTCTCACTTATATAGCAACGCGATAAAGACGGCGCTAAAGACTTCCGCTACGTAATAAGACCGACTTAAAAAAGAATTGCATTCTTAACTAATACTTAATCAATAATAACAATCGCTATTTGTTTGTTTAAATTGCGATAACAATCTCTTTTGTAACTTTGTTTACATCGAGTTTAAAAAGCTTAATCACTCATTTTTTTTCTTTTCTATTTGCTTGCAGCTTAACAGCTACGCTACTGATTTAAAAAGTGTATTGTGCAAAACAAGCATAGTTCTACTTAAGCTACATATAACATATTATATAACCTCGCTTAATAGCGCCTTTAGCACATTAGAGCTCTCAAGTATATGTACATAGATCTTAACGAGCTTCTTAAATAGAATATACTAAGCTTTATTCAATCCATAGAATCTCCTCTTGATCTTAGTGCTAGTAAGCACTACAATTAATAAATGCTGCACGAAAAGAAACCTTGCATGCTGCACGTCCTTTTGCTATACGTGCTTAGCTCGGCTATAGCTCGGCTATAGCTCGGCTATAGCACGTGCTTTACCGTACGTAATTTGATTAGTAAATCTAATTAGTAAATCTAATTAGTAAATCTAATTAGTAAATCTAATTAGTAAATCTAATTAGTAAATGCTGCACGGAAAGAAACTTTGCTTGCTGCACGTCCTTTTGCTATACGTGCTTAGCTCGGCTATAGCTCGGCTATAGCACGTGCTTTATCGTACGTAATTTAATTAATAAATTTAATTAGTAAATCTAATTAATAAATCTAATTAATAAATGCTGCATAAAAAGAATTAACGTACTTAAGGTTGCTATACGTAACTTACGTAAAGCTGCTATACGTAATTTACGTAAGGTTATTATACGTAACCTACGTAAGGCTGCTATACTTAACGTACTTAAGGCTGCTATACGTAACTTACGTAAGGCTGCTATACGTAACCTACGTAAGGCTGCTACACTTAACGTACTTAAGGCTGCTATACGTAACTTACGTAAAGCTGTTATACGTAACTTACGTAAGGCTGCTACACTTAACGTACTTAAGGCTGCTATACGTAACTTACGTAAGGCTACTATACGTAACTTACGTAAGGCTGCTATACCTAACGTACTGCTATACGTAAATTACGTAAGGCTGCTATACGTAACCTACGTAAGGCTGCTATATTTAACGTACTTAAGGCTGCTATACGTAACCTACGTAAGGCTGCTATACGTAGCGTACGTAAAGCTGTTATACGTAACTTATTCGTAAACTATAATTTACGGGTTATATAGCTTTACGAATAACTTAATTTTATTAAAAAACTTAATAATTATAAAAAGAATTAGCTCTTTTAAAGTTTAGTAAAAGTAATACTTATAATTAAAAGAATTACGTGCATTAGCTAACTAAAAGGTTTTATAATTAAGTTAAAGGTCCTTTGATTAATATAACATTTTAAGCGAAGCATGCTAATTGACCCGTGAACTATAATTTACGGGTAAACTTTTCTTTTAATTATTATTACCGGTATTTTTAGCTAGCTAATTAAGGTCGATATAAATATATTAATAATAATAAAAAAACTAAAGATATCGATAAAAAAAAGTTTAATTAATTATTGCAATTAATTATAAATAAGTAAATATAAAAACTTAATAATATAAAAAAAGCAATTTAGTAAAAGTCGTTAATTATAAAACCTAGCAAAAGCGATACTCTTTGCAATTAAACGCTTGATTTTAAAAGAAGCTTCTTTTTTTTTATTTTATACTAATCTCGCTTTATTATTTTCTTTTTCTTTTATTTATTTGCGCTTTAAAGTTGATAATAGATTTATAATTCGTTCGCTTATAAAAGTATTAGATTTAAAATCGTTAAACTTATATATAATAATTGATTTACTTTGATTTTAAATAACGATTAAAAGAGTTTTAAGTTTCGAAATATTAAATTTCGAAGTTTAAGCGGCATTTAAGGTTCTATAAGATAGCGAAGCCGAGTTCGGTATTCTATCAGCTTCCTTTTTATTTATTATCTTTTTATCACTTTGCTTAAGGCTTAATATTTCTTTCGCGTTAAAATAATTTTATTAAGAAATATTATTCGAATCGTTTTGATCGCATAAATTTGCTATCGCTAATTGTTGTGCGGAACAGGCATGGTTCCACCCAAGCTACATGTAACATGTTATGTGACCTCGCTTAATAGCGCCTTTGGCATACTAAAGCTCCTAGGTACATATACATAGATCTTGACGAGCTTTTTAAATAGAATATACTAAGCTTTATTTAATCTATAAAATCTCCTTTTGATCTTAATGCTAATAAGCATTATAATTAAAAGCTATATTCGCACTTACGAGCTATTCAATTAATCTTTAACAACCTTCGAATTAATCGAAAGCGGATTCTGTAAGTCACTTCAACGCTACCTTGCTATAACTTTTATTTTTGCAATCTATCTTTTTTTAATTATATTTATTTTTTATAACTAACACTTATCACCTTTAAGAATTTTAACCAATTTTTAAAAGCTTTAGTTACAAAGTCAACTGCTATAACAATAGACGACAAAGTAAAAGAAGTTCTTTTAATTAACAAAACGAACTTTATAAATCGTAGCGACTTCTTAAGATAAATTACGAATTATAAATACTTTATTAAGCGCTTTAGCATAAAATAATACGCAGCTCTTCGTATTAACGTAAAAGAGCTTGCTTTTTTTATCGAGCAGATTAAACTAAAAACGAAGTTTGCTATAAAGATAATAACGGAGCTTAATAACGAATGATTCTAAAAATAAGACCGTTGACGAAAGGCTTAAAAAGAACTACACTTAAAAGCTTTTGCAAACGATCTTAATAGACCTTTAAAGCTAAAAGACGCTAAGTTCGAAAACGTCCGAAAAGCGTATAACGATAATATAAAGGAATACAACTTCGCTATAAACAATTAAAAGGTCTTAAATAATAAAAGCAATTAAATTATAGATTGAATTAAAAAAACGATTAAAAGCTTTATTCTCGAGAAAGCGATCTTGGCGGCTTTAAAAAAAAACAATACTTTTATTTAATTCTTAATAAAAAAGCTTTAAGAAATATACTGTTTATTCGACTCGAGCTTTAAGCTATCGATAGCACGAAATTATAACAAATCTTTGCAAGCAGCTAAGCAAAAAAGCGTCTTTTTAACGGTATAAATTAAAAAACACCGAGCTATCTACAAGTTAGCGAAGATAAATAACTTTTATAAAACGACGAGTACACTCGCGATAAAAGCATTTTTAAAAGCTATTAGCGAAAAATAATTATTAATTTAAGCGTCGCTAAAGCTCGCAAAAGTCATTCGAAACGACGAGCTATTATTGCTTTAAAAACGCACCTTTTACGACTACCTTAATTAATACGAAAGCTAAGTCGAAAAAAAAACTAGCAATCCGAACTCCAACTTTTTTAATATATTCGCCACTTTCGAAAATCAAACGATTCGCAGCACTTTCGAAAGTAATAAAGCTAACGATATTGCTTTTAAGCAATCCGATAAACGCTTCGATAGCTTTAAAAGACTTGCTAAAAGTTTTAAATGCTCGTGCTTTAAAAAAAGAAACTATTACTAAGACGTAATTAAGTGCAAGATCTTTCGCTATTGCTTTAACGGTCTTAACGAAAGTAGATTCGCAAAGCCGAATCGAAATGATATCGTCGCTATAAAAAAAAAGCTTTAAAAGCTTAAGTTTAAAGCGCTTTAAAAAAAGATTACGAAAGAAGGTTAAGCACAAATTCAAGTCGATAAGATCGTTTTAAAAAGCAAAAAGAAGCAATCGAACGATAGCGATAAATTAAAATACTTTAAAAAAGTATTAATAACTATTATCGATCTTAAGCTTTTTAGCACGCTTGATAATTTTATTTTTAACGGTCTTTATAATACGGCTAATAATAAGCATTAGCTATCTAATAGTACTTTTCTCGATAATTGCGGCGCTATTTACTTTATTAATGATAAAAATCTTTTAATACTAAAGTTAATTTAGCGCTTTCGCTTAACCGACTTTATCGAAGCTAAAACGAATAGTTTATTAATCGTCGAGCGAAAGACTAAAGTTTTTAAAAGAGCTTTAAACGGATCAAATAAAATTAAAACGAAGGATTTAAAATTAAAGAACGTCGCTATCGTTAAAAGGTTTAATATTAATATTATTTCGGAAGCTCTTTTAAGTAAGGCTAGCGTATAATACTCGAAATATAACGCAACTTTCCGCTACGAAAAAGTTAAAAAAAGCGTTATATTAAAAAAGTTGAAAAGGAAATTTAACTTTACGTTTTTTAAATACAAGCTATTTAATTATTCTTTGCCTTAATTGATTCGTAGCTCCTTTTGCTTAATAATGTTCTTTATAACTTAAAAGCGCTTATAAATACGCTATAAATTCTAAAAGAGCAATGTCTTCCGATCTTTAAAAAAGGATTCATTAATACTTTAGCATTTACGAATAGGTCATTTAAGCAAAAAAGCGCTCGAAGCGCTGATTTATAACGTTAAAAAAGTAAAACTTAAAAGAATCATTAAGGTTAAATATAAAGCATATGCTATTACGCACGCTTAACAAATTATATCTCGCTGCACGTTAAATAATAAAGCAGCTAAGCTATTTTATAAGATCGCTTAAAATCTATTCGACTTTTTTAACGGTTTTAACGAAAGCAAATGATTATTAATAATTAAAAATAAATATAATAAAAAGCTATTCGGCTTTACATTAAAAGACAAATTATAATTAACGGTTATAAAAGTGCTAAAAGAATTTAAAGCATAAACGAAACGCAAATACGATCTTTTAATAGCTATTATGCGTTATAATAACGATTTTTCGATAATCGTAATTAACGTAATCGGCTTTACCGAATATTAAAGATAAGCGAAAAAAGTTAAGATCGAGTTAAAGCTTTTATTATCTTTTAATTACGAACTTAATAAAAGAGCTAAAAAGGCTAAGAAAAAAGTGATAAAACGGTTTATTAAAATAAAAGTAAAAGCAAAGCTTTTAGAAAAGCTTTAGCTTAAAACCATATTAGCCGCTATCTACTTTTACAATATAATACTAAAAGCGAAAAGCTTTATAAAAAGTTCGAATGAAATGCTATAGCTTTAATTTAAGCAATATTTTAAGTAGTACGATCCGGCGATCTTTATACGGATCGATACCGATTTAAAACTAAATTATAACGGTTTGGTTGCGTATAGCGCCCGTGCGTACTTAATAATTAAAAACCGAAAAGCTTTTCGCAATAAAAAAGCTTTTAAAGTCAAACCGAAAAAATATATAAGCTACTTAATTAAATATATAGCTTTTAATATATATAAGATCTATATTCTTATGCTTTATAAAATGATTATCATACGCAACGTAACGTTCGATAAGACTTAATTTTATTTTAAAGACGAAAAAAAATCGGTCGGCTAATCGATTAACGAGATTAAAAGTATCGTTATTAAATTAAAAGATATTAAAGACTTTAGTTAAACAAAAAACGCTTTGTTTAATATAAAAAACGTTATAAAAGATCGCTTAAAAAAAACGAATGCAGCTAATATAAAAAGTGACTAGCCGTTAAACTTTATAAAAATTGACTTAAAAAGATCTAATCAAAGCTTAAAAGATGCGACCTTATTTAATTTAAGCGATACATAAACGTTAAAAGCTTTAACTCTAATTAAAAACCTTATAAATACGTTTATATTAAAAGCAATTGCTTTACGAGACGATCTAATAAACCTTAACGATTCGAATTACACCGTTAACCGTCTCGCTAGCTTTTTAGCTAAAAGCAAAAGCGAAGATGCCTTAAAATTGTTAAAAGCAAAAAAGAGCATCGTAAACGAGCAAAAACCTAGCTTTAATAAAAGAGCGCGCAAATCATACCCTTAAGTTATTATTTAAAGCTCAAGTTCGAAAAGCCAAGCTATAAGCCGACCAACGAAAGCTTTTACGTTAATAATCGGCGGAGATTTAAATCGAATAATTAAAAAAGAGCCTTTAAACCCTTTTAAAGCGAGCATTAATAATAAGAAATTAAACTATAAATACTTTAAATAAAATTCCGATTTTAATAAAAAGCTTTCACTTATTAATAGCCGCATTAAAAAACGCGCGAAGATATACGCAAGTATTAATAAGCTTCTCTTAAACAACTCTCTCGCCGATTCGAACCGCTATTCGCGCGTTTTAAATTTTATATCGACTTTTTAAATTAATAGCGATCTCGTGCGCAAAGATAGCAAAGATTACGAAATATTATACGCTATTATAGCAGCTGCTATTTCGTTTAAGCTATTATTAAAATAGCTTAATCCGCAAAAACGGAAATATTTAAAACCTTTTATTTATTAGAAAAAGCTATAACGATACTTATACGGCAAAGAGTTCAAGGACAAAGCTTTTATAAAGCTAAATAATTTAAAAAAAAGGAACTATTAAAAAGTAATTCTCGAAAGCGAAGCTAAATCAAGACTTATACTTTTTAAATAAATATTTATATACAAAACTAGCTCGTTTAAAGAGATCGTAAAGTTTAGATCGAAGATTATAATTAAAAGCGACCTTTAAAACGAATTTATTATTTATTTAACTTACGCTATTACGCTAGCAGCTAAATCGTTTAAGATAATAATAGCTATAGTAGCCGAATTTAATTTAAAAGTAAAGCAATTCGATATCGTTAACGCTTTTATTAACGCTATAAGACATACGGATAGCGTCTTAATTACGTATTATTTTTTTAACGGTTTTAAGCAAAAAGATATACTCGTAAAAATCGATAAAGCTTTATATAAACTTAAAAACTCGCTAGCTTTATAATATTTCGACTTTACAAGCACACTCGACAAATTAAAGCTTACGCTATTCGATAAGAAACCGTATATTTTTACGAATCTAAACAAAACGATCTTTATAACGTTTTACGTAAACGATATTTAAGTTATATATTATCACTTTAATCTTTTTAAAGCGCAAGAGATTATTAACGGTCTTAATAAAGCGTACGAGATCGAAGCGATAAAAAATATTAAATAGTTTTTTAATATAAAAGTCGCTCGAAACCGTTAGCGAAAAACGCTAACGCTTATATACGACGCGTATATTAAAAAAATAGCTAAGAAATTCGAACTTACGGACGAACGCTGCTTAGCAATTTTATTATCGTTTTATAACTTAATTAAAAATAAAAAGATAACTTCGCGAAAGCAAGTAAAAGAGTACTAAAAAAAGGTTAGATCCGTGCTATATATAGCGATTATGCTACGCTTAAATATAGCTTTTGCAGCTTCTTAACTCTTTCATTTTAATATTAATTTAAGCGCGAAGCACTTCCGAGCTATAAACTAATGTTTACGATATTTATTTAGCTCGCGCTTTAAAGATATTTAATATAGCTAGTTTAGCAAATCAAAGCTAATAATAGCCTTTAACGCTTCTTACGCCGATAACGA